AGACCAGGTTTCACGGGTTAGTATCTAGTCACTTCCCGAGTTGGCATGGGTCCGAGTTGGTTTGGGTCCGAGTTGACTCGAAACCTACTGCAGTACCAGGCAGTAGTGACCCCAACACTGTTATTTTCTAAGCAGCTGGTTGAATATTTTCAATGCTAATTTGACATTTTACTTAAGGCCTACTAGGAGTAGCTAGGACATGCTATCACTCTTCTGAATAGGCCTGCAGTGCAAGGGAAAAGTAGCGAAATCCGTGTGCCGTATATGCCTATATAGATCGGGGACCCCACAGTTCTGGGGGTACATGTGTGTACCTCCGACAAGGAACAGACCCAGAGTAGAGAATGCTTGCTTGTCATGCCTGTAGGCCTTACCCCTGTTTTTGTGACCAAAAACATAAAAAGTGAAATACTAATTCACGTCGCTAGATATGCCGATTATACTAACCTGCTGGCAGTGCTTGTCTGCTAATAAAATGCAGCAGGCACGGTTTCTCAGTCTGCTGACGATGATCGTGTGGGTAAACGACATGTACAACCCCACGTGTACATGACGTACAGCAAAGCGTACAATATACATGTACACATGTACAGTACATGTATGTTCACTGTATTTATGTGCACATGTAAACGAAAAAGCGCGCGCCCGTCACGTCAACATGCTGTTAAGACTATACGATTTGAAGGGTGAGAGAGTCATTATTTTCCAAAGATGTAATATATTTGTGTCATTATTTCCTTCATAAGCACTAACATTAAGTATTAACTTTCAAAAATCCTTTTTTCAATAAACAAAGTTCGAATAAAAGGAAGCACTCTGGTTTGGGGAATACATTTATACATGCATATTTATTTATGCCTACATATGTATTTAATGGTATCGTCCGAGAGCATCACAGGTCGTTGGGTCGTTGACTGTCTGGGAAATTTAGACTGGTGCTAGACGTGTAATAAACGCATCCAAATAGCAATGGATATGTCAAGGCCTATCATCAGTGAGCCATGGATTGCTATCGCTTTTCATCAGCGATGATATTCTTGCTCTTTGCGGCTTTCTTTGCGTGGATTGTGATCACTTATCTCAACAGACGACTGTTCGGAGCTCTGAACGATCTCATGTATGTAGGGTTACCTGATGGTTGTTCAGACAGCGATTGTTTTCCTTCAACTTGAAGTTCAAGTTTATCGTGACATCAGTTATCAATGTTGTTCATCATGTTCATCGTGGCCGACTTTTAAATTAATCATTACCTCGTGGGCGTTAAACTCCTCATTTAAATTTTAGCATGTTCAGGTGATTTGGCTCAACCATATCACCAATAGTTTTCAGATTGCGTGATTCCATCTTTCATGTGTCTTTCACCTCTTTTTTTCTAGACCAAAGTGTAAGTATTAGCAGTAGTACTACTTAGGTCACTTGTCATCACAGTTTTTCACTAAGAGACAATTTGACCCCAAATCATGATTTTTTTTCAAGTTTTTGTTTTCTGGGCAAAATCAATTAGGCTCTGCAATGCCTGCAACTTGATGTAATCGTTTTTTTACCAAATCTAGTGAAATCACCCAAATCGCAGTGATCCCTTTGGCGTAATATTCAACAAAATGCATTTTTGGTTTTGGCTTCCATAGATACAAAGTTGGCAAAAGATCAAAACCGTAGGTAAAACTGGTTTTGTAGTTTTCCCGAAGAGACAATTTGACTCCAGAAATGTATACAAATGCAACAATGTTGCACCTGGCACACGTGCTATAGCAAGAGCGTGTACTGTGTGTGCCACTTTACTATCCTGTTTGTTTACAAAATAAACAATTTGAATCAACTTGTAGAAATATTAGTTTTGTAGTTTTGTGTTATGTGACATCCCCTCTTTCATGGAGTAGCATTGGTGAATTTAAAGGAATGCTAAATTCTATGACATTAAGCATTTGAAAAAGAGACCAACTTCAAATGCGATTTTCTCAAAACCTATGTTTTGCAATCCCATGAGAATATTGTCTCTTCGTGAAGACTGTGACGATATGCTCTAACTAGGCCTAACGTCCACAACCGTGTAGTTTGAGGGATATTTGCCAGGTCCCTTATTTTGCCACTTCCTGTGGAAACCAATCAGACTTGACAATATATGTATAGGGGAAAATTAGAGACTTGCCATACTGGCGACTGTACAGTTACAAATGCTAATTCTGTTGGTTTTTTTTAACCTGGTCATTACGGTACAACTGTCAGCTTGAAAACGGAACATGTTGAATAGGCCAATAAATATAACATCGTACTGGACTCTGATCCAGAGATGTGCACAGAACAAACACAAGGATTGCATCCTTGCACCCTAACAATAGTATCAGTCCCAATGATAACTGGGACTTTCCCAACTGTTGGACTGGCCCAATTATGAGAGTTGTAGAATCGAGTCACTTTACTTGGACTTGAGTCAGGCTGGAGTCACTATTTTTGTCACTCGTGACTTGTATCAGTGTTTGACTTGTGACTTGACTTGGACTTGCACGTGACGACTTGTTGCCAACACAAGTCAGAAAACCACTCAATCGAACCCATTAAAGTTTTAAATTAGGCCTACCAACTTACACCTTGCATTCTCAAGATAATCAGCGTAAGACTTCGTTCAGCCCTCAACTTCTACTTTGGTCTTGTCTGCCCAAGGCCACCTCTGAATCACTTGTCTATAGCTTGAAATTGTGTCACTCAACTTGACTTATACTTGGACAAAAAGACTTGTGACTTGCTTGTGTTTGGACCAAATCTGACTTACGACTTGACTTAACCTGTGATCAAATGACTTTTGACTGGACCAAATGACTTGTAACCTGGCTTAAACTTGCCAGAATTGACTTGCGACTTCACTTGGACTTGCAAAATTGACTTGCTTCCACCTCTGCCAACTACTGCACAGAGTGCCAGTGTGTTTCATTTCATTTGTATCAACAACTCATGCAGAAACAAGTTTTATATAGGCCTGTAGATAATGCTAGGTTGTCATATTTTGGATGAATTATGTCAGGGGTGATGTGAGCTAGACTTGGAGAAGCTTGAAAGAAATTTTTTATAAAAATGTGCCGACCATAGTGGAGGAAGCCCAGCTATTGCACTGTAGTTGGGACTGTCTCAATTATGGTAGAGACAGATGCTATAGTTGGGGCATAACAGCATCTTGATGACGTTATGCCACAGCTCTAACATCTGTCCTGACGGGACATGGTGTTTTGAGGTCGTCTGGCTTTCCTTAGCCTGTTTTTCCTCTTAATTTTCATAAAGCTAGAGGCATCCTTGGCTTTAAAAGTTCTACCCCCAAGGGCCTGCTGCTCTATGGAACACAAATGGAGTGGTCAGTGTTCGAGTCTTGTGCAGCACCAGACGCATTGTTCTAGGGGGAGCTTTCCCATACCCTTGGCTTGGTATTTTGTGTTAACCAGAGTATTAACTTCAGTTAGTGTGATGACAAATCAGTTCGAGGTTTTGAGCTCATTGACACCTGGTCAACAGAATTACACAAGACTCCCTTAAAGGGGATGGACCATGCTGGGAAGATTTGTTCTAAAACATGCATGGACACATAAAACAAACATATATATAACAAGAAAGAATATCGGCATAAACTAAAAATGTGCAGAAATATGTTAGAATTATAGTTTTCACGACCCTATTTCACTCCCTTCTGGGAGCAAAAGCTAAACAACATCCGTCTGGTACAGAAAGTTGTCTGAAGAAATTCCCAAGAATCGTGACGTCATTGGACAGAATCCTTTATCCGGTGACTGTTTACTGTTACGCAACAACGCATCGACATGTACGTAATGTAGCAGCATTAGCGTGTGCAATCATGTGAGACTCAAGCGATGATAATCTCAGCATTGGTGCTTTTTCCAATCATGACAGCAATCAGTTGTCAGGTTCGTCTCATTCATTTGACGAAGAAAGCGACATTGAAGGAGCTGATGAGGCACAAGAAATATTGCCTTATCAGTTCCAACTAGAATACACTCAGGAAGAGATTTTGCAACTCAAGGCTGTTGGCCATGGGCATGGCGGCGACCCGGAGGATCGACAACCAAACACTGACTGGTCATGATTTTATTTTTTCCTGTACCATTATCAAAATTCGTCTCTCTGAAAAGACGTAATTGGCCTACCATTGGCTATAGCTGTATAGTAGAAGTATTTTTTTGTCTATGGTTATAGGCAAGCCTACTTTGTCAAACTTGGTGTTCCATTCCGACAATTTTTTTCACTGTGCACTGCGAGTCACTTAATTTGCTTGGCATTGATGTGTCACGTGCGTGACTACCTGCGGCATTAATTGCACCAGAAAATAGTCCGCATGTGCCAGTGCAATATAGGCTGCATCTGAATCTCTTATGTAGAGCTAGGTCTAGGTCTTCACTCTATTAGAAATGCGTGGAGACAAGTAGACAATAGACCTAGCCGTAGCTCTGGAAGCCCGTTTCGGACACGGCCATAGTCCCATTTTACATCGTTTACACGTAGTGCATGTATGGGTGTACATGTACGTGTCGTTACTGGTACGTGTACATACATGTAAACCTGCACACGTATTGGGGAATTTTGAGTCCTCGTAAAAATCTAACCTACAGTCGCTGGGATGAAAAGTTGCTTGGGAATCTACTTAAACTGCTCTCCGGGAATTGTTTTGACTGCCACAACAGCCACCGACAACACAGTTTATTGGCATTCTTTCAAAAAGCAGAATTCACTACAGACGCTATCCAAAACAAAATGAACGTGACGCGTCAAGGTTAATAGTTGTCCAATAGCTGTGCCCTGTGTTAAGAGCTAGAAGAGCATAGGAAACAAGACCAAATGTGGTTGACTTGACATGTACCAGTTATGTACCCAACTACACGCCAGAGCAAAGAATGTTATTCTTGTCTGGAGAGTCGAGTCCGTCCAATGACGTCACATTTTTGCCAAGATTTTTCTGCTGCCCTCATCGACCGATTTTGATAAGTTTTTCTGCAAAGAGCTCAGGCGGAGACTGAAAAAAGCGCACAGAAATGCCAATTTTTGCTGATTTAATGACATAAAAGCGGGGTTTATCCAACTTACTGTATATAAGATGGTTAAAAACTGTCATATAACATCCATTTAACCCTACATAGCCCATCCCCTTTAAAAATTTCTAATATCACTAAGAGAAGGGATGATTGAATTAGGGCTCAATCAATCCAAAGGTAGAGGAAACTGACAAAGTGATTTTGGACGGTATTAAAGAGCCCACATCAGGGTCAAATTTTAGTCAACAACAACATCTAGTAGACCAAAGGGGAGCCTGACCCCCCTCCAAGCAGTAGCTGTACGGACTACCGTGAGCTACATCAACTTGGTGTTGTTGCAGATGTAGCCATATAAAGTAAGCTGTTACTGAATATCCAGGAGGCTGTCGACTCATCGAATTGGTGATTCATCAGCCTGTCTACCCATTGGTTAAATCCCCTGTGTCAGTCCCCTGTGCCAATCCAGTTCAGTCTGTCAACAATATCTGTCTGTGGACTGTCTGAGGACTTGTCAGTTGCAGAGTCAACAATCGAGACATTTTCCGGTAATTATTGTTTTGTGTTAACGACACAAAACCTTTCCAATAGCCAGAGATTACAGCAGGCCCAGCTGTATAGTTGGAACTGTTTCCAAACTCTTCTTTTTTTTCATGTGTTGCTTCGTGCATCAGTAAGTCTCAGTATTTCCATTTCCAGGGAAAAGACTGACTTTTAAGATGGACCCACAAGCTGACATGGACAGTGTGGAAGTGGATTCTGGTGGGGCTAGCACAGCCAGCCCCACCCAACCGATGGCAGAGAAGGTGGACACTTGCCTCCAGGCACTGGAGAGGGCTAGCTCTGACAATGAGGTCTTTGCTGCCCTCCTGTTGGTGAGATTTCCGTGGCCTTGACCACATGGCAGCGGCTGGGAATGATACATTATGCATGTACATGAGCATGAGTGGAGCGCAGAATAATGTAGCGCGTCAGTGTCCCAGACGCCATGAGGCTAAAGGCCTACATTATTCTGTGTTCCACAAGCGTGAGTGTTATAACAAATTTATCAAACTTGATGTGAAGTAAAGATTTTGTAGGGGCCTGGGTGTTAATAGCACTCTGTGTTGAGTTAGTATAGCACATTACTTCTGGTTTGATATGAACCGTGCAATAGTTATATATTGCATTGTTCATTGCCATGGATTGACCAGTCAGAATTGAAAATTCAAGTTTGATTGAATTCAAGTTTACCTATGCAAATTGGCTTGCAGCTTCATGCCTTTCTCATAGAGACCTGTTTTATTTCTAGCTATACACAAGTGATTTGAATGCAGCCAATAAGGTTTCAACCTATGTTTTGAAAGATTTTTTTAAGGTTTTTTTGTTTTGGTTTTTTTCATTCTCATATAGATATTAACACTTTGAACTCCACTATGTGCGAAACTGTTTTGCCCATTTCTTTTTGGTTAATTGTACCGAAAAGTAACTTTTTGAAAACCTTTAGAATTTATATGCTTTTCTTGATATATGAAGTTACTGTTACTGTGATGTAATGAGACATTTTGTATGTAATGCTTGAGCAGTACCAGCCTTCTGTCATGAACCAAACAAATCACTAAAGTAAAACAACCTTCAGACAGGAACATTGGTCAAAAGGTTGGAGAAATATCTTGCTTACGTGACTGGAATATTGTGGTTTCTTCCTGTGATCATATACTTTTCCTCATGAGTATGCAAAGCCGAATACACTCCAAAAGTTTTCCCTTCATATTGGCAAAACAAAGAGACGAATTTTGGAATTTCATAAATCGCATTGTATGAACCCGTTAAGCCCTGTACTTGCCCACATGGGTGGCTGATAATGTACATACATGTACATCACTGAATTCTATGCATGCAGCCTTCATCACATTATTGAAAGCAACCGATTTCTGAATATATGAGGTCAATTTATTTAACAGGTGGCCAACGTCGTTCAAGCAGAGACGACGGATGCTGCAACCAGAAAGAGAATTTTTGATGCAGTAGGGTTCCAGTTCATCAACAGACTTCTCAAAGCAGGTACGGTGACTGAGGGTGTGCGGTTTTTTCTGGGGGGGGTTGTTCATTTGTTTGTTTCCGATTTGATATTTCAGTTGTAGCAGAGCTTACTTTGCAGCTACAAAGGCTCTTTCTTTGCAGGGAATTGCAGTTGTCAAGGATGTGAAAATTCAGCTCTTTAGCTGATCTCAGCTTTATTTGTTTAGATGTTGACCCTGAGTTTTAGCTTTTTTGGATACCTAGTCTGTACAAAAGTATTGGAACTTTTAACATTTCACCTTTTTGCTAGCTGTTTTCACCTGTGAGTTTAACTGGCCGCTCACACCCCTGATTTGTATTAGATAAAAGGATAAATACACTTGGAACACTGGGACCATTTGACGTTGTTTAGTTTGAAGGTTGTTAAACTGTTATGTATGGAAGTGATCTGAATTGTTAACCAACTACAGTGCAATAACAGACATCAATATATCAACCAATCGGATATACCGAACATGCCCATGGCTCCACAGCCCTTACTCCATATCAAAATAAGTGAACCTGAGTGCAGCTGTTTATGGGCTGTGGGTTCGCTGCCGTTCAAAGGGAAACGAGAAAACCAGACAACTTGTCAGTTGCTGTCACAGTACCTGGGGAGTTCTACACAACCCATGGGGAATTAGGAGAACTTGATTCCAACTCAGTAGAGATTATGTGCGCATGATATGTGAAGTTGGCAGAAAAAAATTGATAAGCCAGCCAGTTCTTTTACAGAGTGGAAGTAAGTTAAGTTTCGAAATCACTGGTTTCAAATTTTTAGAAGCGAAACGGCATGGGAAGAAACGGACTAGTTGCTTTGAAAATCAAACATCTAAAAATTGTTCCTGTTTTTATTTTAAATTTGTTTTTTTATTCTGCACCCACTTTCCAGCTGCTAAGCCGGAAAAAAAGGAAAGCGGCACGTACCGCAGTCTGGCCGTCACTCTACTGGGTTGCTTTAGTACGTCGCCAGAGTTAGCCGGTCACTCACAGATGGTCAGCAAGATACCGGTGCTGATTGAAGTCATCCAGGGCGCCAGGTGAGTTTACCTGTGTATGCGAGTGTATGCGAGTAGGCAAACTGGGGCGAGATACCCAAGTGCGATAAGTCTTGCACAATTTAGTTGTATATTTTTTCTTCATACATTCAACTCTGATTTTTTCCCAACCAACAAATATATTTTGATACCATTAAAGTTATCACTGTATAATAATGTTGATTTGACCAAGAAACCTTGATACTGATTACATTCAGAACTTCATTCACTCACAAAAGAGACTGCTATGCTGTTTCCACCGTGCAAACCTTCAAATTATGTGTATTCATTATTTAACCTATTGTCCATTGTTTTAAATCAGCCATATCACCTCAATTGTGATAACTTGGCATGTGTTAAGGTCTCCTTTTTAGCACATAAGCAGCAACCAAAAAATAGGATTTTCAAAGTCTGTCCTAATTTTAATTTCTCTCCAACATTGTACTTGAAACTTTTCCAGCTACACAGAAAATGTAATTCTGTTGGGATTTCTGAAATGAAAGTGCCCCTTATGGATCGATGGTCTATCACAAGAATGTATATTTTGTCTTATTTTCTTCAAGTAGACTGACTTGTTCCGGAAAAAAGTCTGACTTTTGCAGATATAAATTTTGCAGTTATTGAATTAGCACAGATGTTCAGTTTATACCCACTTTTCAACTGAATCATGCAATAATGCAGATGTTTTTGGATTCAACTTGCAGGGCATCGCTTCAGGATGAAGAGAAGCAGACAGTCGACGATGCCTATCAGATACTGGTTACCATGGCGATGGAGGAGTCACCAAGGAAGGCCCTGTGTTGTCCGGAGGTCATCTCTGTCTTGTGTGGGACAATGGAGGGCAGGTTTTATGGTATGCGTATGGCACCAACTTTGCTAAAGATTTCCCTTTCAGTAAATGCAGATCACTCGTAAATGTACAGCTTCGAATGAGCCCTGCTACAAAAAAGGTTACAGGGTTCCCGCGGCCTGGAAAAGTCATGAAAAAGTCATGGAAATTTGTTTTCGTTTTCCAGACCTTAAAAAGTCATAGAATTTTGTAAAAATGACTTAAGACACAAAAAAGTCATGGAATTTTTCAAACGCCGTTTGTGATTTCTATCAGCAGAAATAAATGCATAAAATGCAGGGTTGTATTCAGCACTTTAAGAGTCGGAATAGTCCAAGAAATCACGTTATTGGGTCATGGATTTTCGTAATACGGTCATGGAAAAATCATGGAATTTCATTGTCCTTCAGGTGCAGGAACCCTGAGTTTAGGATAGTTGGCATGGTTGGGTTTAAATGGTGAAGGTATACAGCTATCATTGCAACAGCGGTCTAAGTAATGAACAGCATGCCCACAGTTCTGTACTTCATTTTATGGCATTGTGCTCTAATTTCTTGTGTTAGCGTTTGCTTCAGTTTTTCTTTATGTTGAGCAGAATCACATGATTGCAGCCTTTGACCTTTGACCTGTTTTCCACCTGCTTGTACATTTCTCTGTTTGATTAAAAAAATCTAATTTTTATCCTATTGTGTGGTTTACATTTGTTTCACTGTTCTTTTGCAGGCTGCGATAGAGCCGAAGAGCTTTTATTGTTGTTACTTCACCACTGTGGCCAACACGTTTGGAGACTCAACAAACCACAAATAGATTCGTTGGTCCACAAATTAGCCAGCCAGTTCAAAGAGTGCCAGGTGAGTTTCTTTCAGGTTTTCCTTGGAAGATTACTAGTTTGGCATCACGCCCACTGCACACGTCAGGCGTGCACATACCAGTTCACATGCATGTGGTGCAGACTACATTCAACCATTTTTCAGCTGAATGTGCACAAAAACCTCTGCATCTTCACAAAATGCTCAGTTGAGCCTCATTTTTAAATTTGGCTGTAAATGCGGTATTATGTTTGTTAAATTAATTCCTTGAAGGTTGGGTACAAATGATTACATTCCATTTGTCTCCACAGGATGAGTCAAAGTTCCAAGTGTGCGAAGTTCTGGCGCGACTACTTTTTGCATGCAGTTCAGTAAGTATGAAATATTAACGGTCAAGTAAAACATTTTATACCACATTCCATTGACTGCTGTTTCTTTTACTACTGAGCTTGAGGTTACCCAAGCTCTCAACACTGGCACCCTGTTTTTCACTCCAGGTCCCTATGGAGCAATCAGAATGGAGCCAGCTGGTTTTCAAAGGCGTCAGTGATATTTTAATGAGCAAAGTTGGTGAGTAGCATTATATGTCTTAATCCTCCTATGCTGAAGTCACTCTTTGGGTCACTTGGTAAACACCTCAAAGAAGCACAGCTGTGTCGTGTTGTGCACTGCACCAACTGTCCCCCAC